TTTAAACTAAACTTATTCATGATTGACAAAAAAGCAAAGTCTCATCCTTTCATTGCTGTCCTGCATCCAAAGGACTAAACACAGACTTCAAGATTTAAACACACATCTATGACTAACCCAAATAAACAGAACCCATAGAAACATTATGAGCTATAATATATGCCATAAACTAGCTAACTATAATCCCATAATGACTGAAAATAACCAAAAGAAAAAACTTGATCGTCATTGGCAGTTGTAATCAGCAATTTCTGATCATATCTACCATTACTGCCACCTAATGGCAGGTTTGTACCTTCTGTTGCCTTTCCAAGAATTTCCACAAGAGTTTGTTGAGTTCGGTTTGGCTCAGGTTTGTTTGACGAATCCTGTAGCCTGACTTCCCTCAGCACAAATAATGTTTGAGTTATCTTTGGTCTTTCAGTTGTGGAACAAAAAAAAGAAGGAAAAACCGAGTCCTTTCAGAATCTGTGAAGACCAAAAGTCGAGTAATGTGTCCGCAGTCTAAACATCTTCTGTCTAACAGGGAGACTTTACATTACTCATCTTTTTAATATTTATGTTGCAGTATGTTAAAAACGCCATGAAACGTTGAGCAGAATCAACATCACTCTTTATGTTTCTGTATTTCATCCAATTTGGGTGGAAAAAAGATAAAAAAAAACATCAAGAAGAAAAACTAAATCTACTTTCATCAGTTCCACCATGGGACGTTTAGCTAAGCATTGTGGCTCCCTCTGCTGGTCACTCACCTCTCTGCAACGTCTGAGCTCTGGACTCTGACCCCATCCCTGAGAAGTGTCCATCCCCAAAAGTTGGATTTTTAAGACCACCTAAAAAATAATAAAAAGTTCTAAGTAACTCAAAGCATAAAGTGCTGAAATGTAAAAATTATTTCTATTAACATTCACACCATTAAGACCATTTTAAACCTTGAACAGATTCCAAAATACAAACACACAAAAAAACATCACCATCAGAAACCAAGATAATCTAAAGAAACCCGACTGTGTGATTCTACAGCGCACTCTAGTGGTCAAAAGGCTCATCTACTTAAATAAAACTGAAAACTGGGCAGTCTGATTAGACAGAATTGAAATACAGACTGGTACATGTAAATGCCTTTAGCCTTATAATTATTCAAAATGTATATTTTATTTCAGTAACATAAGCTCACTCTGGAAAATTTAGAATAATACAACTTTTAATTTGATTTAAATACACTTATTTATTGGGGTGGGATCATCAGTGGGCTCCATTAACACTTCCTAAAAAAGTAAAGCAAATGAAAGTAATATTTAATTTTGTATACTTTTTGATTTTTTGGATGTTTTAATTAGTAATCCATAACTGTGCGTGTCTGTGGGGTATAAATATGAAGTAACACACAGACTCATTTCTCCTAGCAGCTCTTCTATACAGCAAGGAAAACCAGAATCACATTTAAATAAGGGAGATGTGTGTTGATCCTCTAATGCAAAAATAAAAATAAAAATAAATGATATAGAAAGCTTAACCATATCTTAATAATAATAATAACAAAAACAGAAATGGTCTGCATGAGGACTGGGACACCGGGGGCCTCAACAGGTCCCAGGGGAGTGGGCAGTGTTAGGACGACCACAGGCAGGAGGAGACAGTCTAACATGGACACAAGGTCCCGAGGCCCTTGGGACCTGATGTCTTTCCTCTGTCCTTCCTCTGCTGGAAGGATAGAGGACAACTGAGATTGGTAATAAAATATAGACTGAAGAATAATAAATCAAAACTGAATAAACAGTAAACTTAAATGTCTTCACGACTTAAAATATGCCCAACTCTATCCAGAGATAAAACACCAATCATTCAGCACATGGACTTTGACGTGGATTCCAACGTCTGTCAACAAGCAAAATACAAAACGCCTCAGCTCCGACAAACCCAGGTGAGGAAAATTCACAGTCCTGCTCTGTCAAAACCTTTATCCTAAGTAAGACAGTTGGAACAGGTTCACTGACTGGACATATTTTTACTTAGTTGTATGTTCTGAGCCATTGTTTTGTATTAATGATTAGCAATTTAGCCCCCCACCCCCCTCAAACGTTTCTCTGTTAATTTTGAATTTCGGAATGAATCCAAGTGTGTTTTCACACCTGATGGTCCAGTAGACTCTGTTCTATTGGGGACCAAAATAGCAACATTTGCTACATTTTCAGCAGCTCACTTTCACACTGTACTGAGTTCAACAATCCAAGCTAATTGAAAAACCTGTTCCCCTCATCGCCTGTGGTGGCGCTACATCAAGAACCACTGAAGGAAACAACAGTTGCGCTCAGCTTCAGCTTCCTTCTTCTTTTGTGACAAAGGAAGTACAGCTTCCTTTGTCATAAAATGTAAAACAAAATGGAGTGGTGTGAGATTTTAGCGACTGCAGCATTCCTTTATCATCTTTGGCAAAAGACAGATGAGCCATTTCTCCCACAAGTTAGGCTAGCACGTTTGTTTTGGTTGGATTTACCCAGAATGCCCTGCACTGTAGTCCACTACCTGCTTCTGGAGCGCTCTCTTGACGTTCACATATGCATCTGAACAGCACAAGAGTTCACTCTAACCAAACCGTGACCGAGGTTTGTGGGTGGATCAGAGTTTGATTAGCATTCACATTTCCCCAAACGAACCGGACTCTGTAGACAAATGAACCAGTTTTATTAAAGCAAACTAAACAGGGCTGGTGTCAATGTGCCCTACTTTGAGGTTACACTGACATTTTATTGTTCATTAAATGGTTCATTATGGCAGTGAAAGTTGCAGCTTTCAGTGGCATAATCAACTCATTGATGCTCTTTTACTATCATTGAGACATCTCACTGTTTTTTACAACTTGTGTGAACAAGTCCTTCTTGTTCCAAAGTGAAATTGTGGATCTGACCAATGCTAAGCTGTGTAAAATAAAAGTGAAAAAATAAAAAATAAATAAAAAAACTCACACCCTAACAAACCAGAAACCAACATGTCCGTACGCTCTGAGAGGTGTCGCATCAGTCTCACCTTCTGAAGACACGAACTGTCCAACAGCCAGGGAGCCTCCGCCGCCCGTCTCTACAAACTCCACCTCGGAGACGATGATGCTGTCCTCCAGAACGGAGCCGCAGCCCATGCAGACGGCATCGCCCCGCGCCTGGTCAACATCGATGTCTGAGCTGCCGCAGTGCTTACACACCCTGGAGCTCATGGTTTTGCTCTGCAGACCTCCAAACCTGAATCAAAATATGACAAGATGTCAAATATGAATTCCTTGATAAAACAAGAACAAAAACACAAAAAAAATAGTGCAACATTTATCACTACCAGAGGGGGAACTAAGAGACCCTCTGAGCACTCTCAGAGGGCTTACAGAATCTCTAAGAGAATTTAGAGAACTGCACTGGGTAGAAATGTACTGGGTCCAGTACATTTTTAATTATTTTTAGGACGAACCTTATTAGGAATGCACAAAATATCTAACCCAACATCGTTATAAGCCAATGTTTGTCTTTTTTTTTTTAAACACATGGTATTGGTCCAATACGTAAAACTGTGCCGATATTAACAACCTATATTTATTTTCAGCTAGTTGTCATTTGTTTTTCATTTGTATATATATATATATATATTTGTATATATATATATGTGTGTGTGTGTGTGTGTGTGTGTGTGTGTGTGTGTATATCCCAATTTCCAGTAAATTGCTATAATTCCTGATTAATTCACATAATACAAATAGAAAGCTTACAGTTGGTAAGTTTCACATCCCCCCCGTTAACTTCTTTTTGAAAATGTCTTAAAGGTTGTTGCAAATCAACAATATTTGCAACCCTAAATGATAGAAATAAACTATTTAAAAAGTTAACTTTCTTTCACAGGTTGATTTTTTAGTATTTTAGTACAAGAAACTATGCTTTCGTGTAATGAAACTTTGAATACTAAAATTCTGTCTTGCAACACCTATGTCCTTGACTTTGTGCATCTGTGTTGCATCATGGTGCCCATCAGCGACTTTAGAGCCCGGGGCCTCCGAGCAATGGATGCGCCCATACTAGAGTGTCTAAATCGATGCTGCGGTATTTCCAGTAACTTATTCCGGTTACTATATGGTTTCCCAGCATATTCTAATCTGCTGCTGGACTGTACACAGAAATGAATGCCTCAGCAGTGATTGTGCAGAACATCCCCCAGTACTCTGCTCCCATCCCTCGGTCAACGACGTGGCACACGTCTCGCGAACCCCCAACCCCCACCTTTACAAGCCAAGAAACAGGCTTTTGGGAGAAATTAGAGAATAGAAATGTGCTTAAGATGTGCTGGTTGTTTTTCCTTTTTCAGTGGCCAATATGGACCATTTGGGAGCCACATGGAGCTGGTGAGAGCTGGGTGGGACAAGCTAACAGATGTCTGAAAGACACCAGCAAACAGTTGAACTCTACAAGACGTGCGTCTGCGGACACCATGTCAACATCGTGTGGCCAACAGCGGCTCCATACCTTCAGTCCGGTGAACTCCGACGGGAGCAGCGTCAGGTCACGCTGTGACGACGCCACCCTTAGTGAAAATAAGTGTTTCCCACGTAAACTCTGAAACGCAAAGGCGTCGTATTCACTTCCACACTTCTGTCAAAGGAGCTGGGAGCGTAAGCGAAGCTAGCCGCGTGATGACATTTTACGTGAGTCTCATATCTGCTGAAACACCGGCGCAATTCCCAGCACAACACCGAGCACGTGCGCTTGCTGCGTTGGGGAGACCCCGACGAGACCAACTGCAGAGGGGTGTTAGCGGAGAGAAGGGGACAAATACTGGGCTCAAACACTGCTGTTTAATCTATTGTATTACTGATTTACTCAGTACCATGTAGTGTAATATAAAAACAACTGTTGTAAGACTGTAAATAAATACAAACACTTTATGATAATCATAGTTCCACCTATATTGTTTTGGAACTTTCCAACTTCCGCCTACACGTTTAAACGAATTACTATATTTTAAAAGTACAAAGTTATTTCTTTGCTATTTTTACGTTCCAAAATTTAGTTACATTTATACCAAAGTCAAATAAAATTGTAGTCATTTCATTGCAATAGATGCTAAACAACGTTCCCTTGAAACAATGCCACGTCTGAAAGGAAAACGTGTTTCTGAGTCAAGTTCACTAAAAACACGGAGGCTGTGAGGAGTCTCAATGTGTAAAATTTCCCCATCAAAAACCTCCGATATAGATAAAAAAAATTAACCCGAGGTTCGAGAACTACAAGTAGCTCTTTGGACTATTAATAACTTTAGACAAAAACTTTAGATAAAAATCATGAAGACCCACCAAATGTTTTAAATATAGATAAAATAAATGTTTTAGCACTCTATCCACTTTCCAAATGAAATATTTGCATTTAAATTCCACAACGAAATGATACTAAAAGTAGAAATAAAATCTTTCAGGTTTTTTTTTTTTTTTCATTAGGTTAGAAATTTAGAGGTTTTGAGATTTTTTGAAAATCAGTTTTCACAAATTTCAACATCCCCCAGAAGAAAATGTATCCATCCTTTTCTTATTTTGATCTATTTTAAAGTTTCCACAAATCTGTCTCCCAAACTCTCAGAATGTTTGGACTTCTATTATCCTCATTGGATGACTCCAAAGATCTTTCTCTCACAAAGTTATTTTGTTGTAAATGTGTGGGTACATTTTGCCTTACTTAAATCCAAAATATAAACCCCTCATGTTTAGCAGACACCAGAATATCGTGGGTCAAATCTGACTAACAAAATAATATAAAAACAAAACCCAAGCTCCTTCTGAAAAAAAAGTAACCCTAGTAGATAATGCTGCAGTTGCCACGGCAAACATCTAGCTAGATTCTTGTACAGTATTTTTGTTTACATCTACCCAGTTCAAATGGTTTTATATTACTAAACTCTGGCATATGAACAGTGACGAATGAGTCACTGGTTATATTTGTAACTGGACGCTGCATTTAATGCACCGATAACTGATTTCATATAGTAGACGAGACATTCATTACTCCCAGCTTTAAGGGTCTCTTGCTAATTGACGCATAAAGCAGCATCAGCCATTTTATTCTGTAGACGTCTAAAACCAGAAGGTGTGATAGTAAAACATCCACCTGTATTAATGTTTTTGAAAGACCAAAAATCCAAATGAAGACGAAAACAAAGACATTATGTATAAACATCTGATTTTATTCTGAACAGAAAGGTCCAACAACATGCTGCACCATCAGCAACATAATAAACAAGAAGGAAAAACAGGGTAGTGTACTCAGAGCAGAACAGATTGCACATGTACAGAATGGCAGTTTACAGTTGGTTAAAAAAAATATATAGAAAGAATTATAATGAAGGGGTCTGTCACTTTATTTAAAGTACAGTTTTGTTTCTTATTCATATCTCTTTTTGGGGGTAAGAGCTTGCTTTTCTCCATCTTCTAAACATTCTAAATCATGTGATCAAAAAACAAAAAAGATACATCTGTGCATTGAAGTAGAATTAAGCTGAAGAAATGTGTTTTTTTCTGTGAGGTGAAGGCCAGCAGACATTTTGCTGATCAA